TCTGACGAATTTGGTAGTTGTAGTATTAAGCATTCTTTGAGGTTTATTTTCTCGAACTTGTCTTTTTATCGAATAGCCCACTATTGCACCGACCCTTACAATCTTAAAGGAAGAATAACCAACATTTATTTAAACAGAGTAGTTGAAAAAGCTCGCAAGAGCTCTGCAGAAATTGCACTTATAAATGTTACACCGGCACAGACTAAAACCAAATAGCATCACAAGAAATATGATGATCAAACAATCCTAGGTGGGTTGTCCCTAAAGTCATAAACGCAAAAACTTAATTTACAACGGTATCTAAAAAGTTGGCATGCTGAACTGTCCATTTGTTTTCAACGATCTAATAATTATTCATTATTCACGAATAAATCCTGGTATCGTATTTCGTGTTCGGGATTATAGTTTCCCAGGTTCGGTCCTGCAATCGCCAGACATCATCTAAAAACTCATCGTCCGTTCCCTGCAACAACACCGTTCGCTGATGCAATAATTCAGCTTCCTTCGCTCGTAGCTCCTGGTGGAATCGCAATTTCCACCAACGCGCCATTTCCACCGCGTGTTTCGCCAGACCCTCCACGAACGGCGGCTGTGTCCCAGCTAAAGTGAACTTCCTGACTGAACTGAAATGCCCGTTATGATCCGCATCCGCGTGTGGCTTTCGAGCGAGTGCAAACCAGAACAGGGGGAAATAAGGAATAAAGCGTGAACCGTGCATTTACTGTACGCTCAGAGGGCACAGATGACTGGAGCGACGGAAGATGACAAGCCGGGGATGGCGAAAGGAAGCGAAAGAGCTCAGTCAGTGCCCGTGAAATTTGCCTCGCTGATGTCGTAATAAATATTAGGTTTCACGCAATTTTCTTCGCTGGCCCGGGAACTCCGTTGCTATGGCGCGTAAACGATGAAAAAGTGCCTGGAGAGAGCCGAATGAAGTTCGAGATGAAGAGCATTTCCGGTCACCGTTGAATGGTAAGGAGAAAGTAGAGGTGGGAAATACGGGACACGTCGAGTACGGCGTAAATATTGATGGAAACTCGTAAAATCATCATTATGAAGAATGTAATTTTACGGAACATGTAAGCAGTTATTCCTATTTGACATTTATTAAAGATGTTGTTATAATAAATACTGTTGAATTAGATTTCAGAGAAAATACTTTGTTCTGACAGCTAATGTTCACACTAACTGGTGTTCTAAGGACCAGATTTCTCTCAATTTTCTTTAATCTTTTCACCATTCTGCTCCAATTATCACAAATATGGGCGTAAAAAGCTTCTGATACCGAAACACAATAATTCGGAATTATAGCAACGATTACAATTAACAATTGCAAGTAGATATGGAAACTACTGGACCGTAAGAGTGGATACCATAGGGGCGTGCAAAACAAATGAAGCGTAGATACGATAGGGGCGCTGAAAACTGATAGCAATACATGGTGATTGTATAATTGTGACGTAAATATTTGACCAGTGCGTCAACGTAGATAGAATTTAATGACTATGTGGATTGCGGAGTGGCACTTTAACCACACCTATTGTCACATGGTTACCAGTCTTTTTTACACCACTGCACTGGATTTTTAAAATATACATTGTTTAATATTTACTTCTTTCAGTTATGAAAGTAATTATTATATTGCAATACAGCAAAGAAAAACTACAAAATTTGTGTACTACAGAAATTATTTTTTTACTTCAAATTATTAATGTTAAATTGAATATATAAAAATTGTTTTACTATGAAGATAATATAAAACGACATAATTAAGATGTCGCAAAGCAACGCAAGAATTTAATTAATGGACAGTCGAATTGCATCATTAATATTTTCCAAGGCAAAATCAAAGGTGTAAAATTTATTTGAATATCAAGAATACTATCATAGACTTCTTCAAGGAATCGTTTTCCTTCTCCTGCCGTTTCACTCAATTTAAACAACAACAAAATAAAACGACACATACGCTCTGCGTCAGGTGTTATTTTAAATCAAAATAAACAAATATATTTGACCACAATATTGAACTCGTCCACATATTTTGTCACAGCAGAATAGCTAATTTCTGAGAAACAAAAGAAACTTGCTGTTAAATACAAACTTCTTATACCCTGGCACCAGTTATATGCGGCCCGCAGAACATAGTTCACGACCTAATATAACACGAGTAGGTAAAACGTGTTAATTTAGACATTAGCTTCATTCACGGCAGAGCAGTAAACACACGGAGAACAGGAGCCCGGTCGCACAATAAGCCGAAGCTGGGGTTAGAAGCGTAACATGCACGTTGACACATAAATTAACGTGTCATAGGAACTGCAGAAGTGTTACTGACGTTTACCTTACCAATATAAACAAGGAAACTTACGAGAAACAAAAAGGCACGAAAAAAGCGAACAAGTGTATAATACTGCAGGAAGATAAAAAGATCGAAATATTGGTCGTGCAAGGGAGTTTAAAACGCGTGCATATGCACCTGTCATCCCCACCTCCCTCTCGAGAAAAGGCTCCAGACGGCGGAAGCGTCTATAACGATTTTCACGGTAAACATTTGGCCATAGCTCAGGCTTGCTGCTGCGGTTCAAGTTAAATTGCCTTCAAAATTGCATCCCCCTAGTGGCGTCGCGTTATAATGGTAACCCGGCCACCGACTCGGATCGCTCGCATAAATTTCAGCCTGGTGAGCTTTGCCAGAACTCGTGTATCGTCATTGCGCGTGCCGGTAATCGAGCGACGATAATGATAAACAGGAAGTTTTACGCGTATCCATCGACGATGATGATGACAACGTCGGAATTTTGGTATGGTATCGCCTGGTCGGCGCCATTTTGTCACTGCCTTGTGTACCACGAATTGGAATGCTCGTGTTGCGTTGAAACATTCCTTTGTGATCTGAATTAATTGGAAATTAATATTTGTAATTAAAATATTGCTGATAAAATTATAATAGGATAACATTGTTTAAAGTTTTCAATGTTTATGAAATTTCGGAAAATTTACTAGATAAAAGGCGAATGCCTTAAACGACTCGCATATAGGGATAGGACGTTTAAGGGATGAAGCTACGTATTTATTTTTTATTTCAAATATTGTTAATTTGTACGTTAATGAAATTTTTTACTAGGGCATTTCTGTATCAACAGCTTTCTGCTTGGTTTACATAAATAAGAAATATTCTACCCATTCATTGCATTCACGAAAGAAAATGAAAAAATCGCGTAAAATCGATATATGCAATATCGCCCATGCTCATGAAGCCAGAAAATATTTTCATGAGTGGGAGGTCTGAGCTCATCCTACGACGGATTTCGGAAATTACGTCATTTTTCTGTACCAGCTACGGAACAGCAAAAGAAGGGAAATGACGAAGGATTCCTATCGCTGAGGATCTGACCGAGCTCAACTTTCTTCCCGTGAATAATGACTTCTGTAAAGTACCTTGAAGTTCTGCCAAACTTCCTTTGCGTCGACCAGACTAAAATGTGTATTTTGAATTATATCACACGAAATAAAATGTGTGGAAGAAAATTATCGATGAGTAATCGCAGTGTCTTTCTCTCGTTATTCTGACCTTAAAACATACTTTTCCGCACTATATTTTTGGGGTTAAACGTAATCAGAGAAAGGGACCAATAATTTTCTATATACTTCGAGATACTATTCACAAACTTTCGTATATACCTAAGACTGTTAAGTGGTTCTATTGGTCCAATAATAAAAGTCTGATTGTACAGAGGTCAAGTAAAGTAAACTAATATACACTATCTAGTAACGCAGGTAAAATTTAGGTTCAGTTCGATCTTGTCCACCCAGAAGTGAACGTTGAATCGTGTGTTAAATCGTGTGTTGGATCGTGTGTTTATAGAGTGTTGATCGTATTTGTGTGTGAATCACAATCAACATGTGAGTTAATGTTTTAATTGACTTAATTTTTAAATTCCGCGATACAAAACTTCCACTTTATTTTGTAATATTAATTACTATGAACCCGAAAAATGAACAAATACTATAAATCAATATTACTAAACTATTACGTCACTACCAGTACTTTGCATAAGAATATTATTTCGCCTTCTATGCGTAAGAAAGTAATTGTGTCACGTTTTATAATCTAGTGTACCGCGTGTTTCCTTTATCTCGAGTGTATCGAATATTTTATCTGTGAAATATGTAAATTTATGCAGTCTTCCTTTCCGTATAAAGGTTTTTCCTCGTATTATCCAAGAGAAAGTTGATTGTGGATACTTGAATTATTATTCATACTTTATTTCGAAATTTCTGTTTATGAACATTGTGTATATTCGCTAGTATCACTTGTCGGTGCTATGTTGCTGCTCAGACGTAAAATCGAGTAAATACGTTCGACGAAATTTCCCTTTACGGCCATCTTTGCGCCATCTAATCCCTCTCGTAAAAGCTTGTTCCCGGAAAAAGGAGAAATCTCGGGTGTGCAATACGAGGCGAAAGAGTTCGGGCAAAGCTGCTGAATGAAAGAAACGATAGGAGCAAAATTGAAGCTGGGATCCGAGACAGATTCCGTAACAAAATACATCGAATAAATAACGCTCCGCCGGGGTTTTTCTTGAACTCTTTATCATGAGAATGTAACGTTGAATTGTACTGTTTAATCCTGACGACGGTTCTCGTTATCTGCGTACTGTTTTTCGTTTGCTTGTCTGTTCTTTGTCGCTTTTAACGTAAACAGATAATAATTTTTTTGTAACGAGAAAAATTCTAGGCAAAGGTGAATGAGTAAAAATTTTAATTTCGTGATTCGCATTACTGAAATATTAAAAAGGAATGAAGCCGTGGTCGTTGAAATATTTATATACTCTTAATATTCTTTTTCTCTTACAAGTGCATAATTATTTAAGCTGCCTCTTACACTGGACCTCTTATAATGATTAATTAACATGTATTCGCCAGTTAACACGTAAAGAATGTTATTGGTAGAAAGAAAATTATATTATTTTCTGACATAGTTTGTCTATTTCTTTCAGAGCCTACCACAAACACCAGCTGGCGGTGTCGGTGGAAAAGGAAGTGGAAGCGCTGGTTCTGGTATGGTAAATGGTTCTGGTGCCGACCATCAAGATATACGTGACGGTGCAGCTATAAACACAGAACACGTGAGTGAATTAAATCAAATACTTAAAGCCGAAATTCGGACATTTGTTTCATTCCATTAAAAGTTCCATCGTATTCTATATCATATGAAAACCATATTAAATTATTTCACTGGACTGACGTTCATAAAATCATAATATCTGCAGTTCTAGTATAACAGTACATACTTTTCAAAAGGAGATGAATTGCCGACTCAAGGATAATTACTTTTTTAACATTACTAGTACTTACTTCAGGTTAACTAAATTGATTCTTAGAGAAGGGTCCACAAACAGTAACATTTAAGAATTTAGAATTTTATTACTTAGTTCTTTCCGTACTTCATTTTCTTCAATAAGCACAATGTACAGATTGTTTCATTAAAAAATATGTAGATCACTTACATATCAAAGCGGAAGTTCTGTATGACATGATCATTTGTCAAAAGTATAAAGCCATGTCACAGTTGATGAAAAAAGAACATATTAATGAAACCAGTTATAATGTATATGGCCGTAATAATTCTTTGAAGATCAATTTCTTTAGCATTTTCCCTATTACTACTCCAAGAGTGTGGATTTTATTAAGATTCTTAATATTTAAAAAACATACATAATACATCAAATTCTAAAGAAATTAATCTTCGAAGAATTATTACGTTCAAGTTGTAATTTTGCCCAATACAGTATAAAAAATATGAATTTTAAACTTTCTTTCGACCGCCACTGCATATAAATCGTTTGTATTGAGTTTTCTTATCTTAGTCTCATTAAATATTTCCACATTAGCAGACTCTTGATTGAAAACCGAAGTTGTCGGTTATCGTCGTATTGACGTAATCATTCCAACATAAGTTAGCCAGCTCGTGAGGAATTGCCAAGATTTCCCAGACGTGCCCACATATATATCGACATTACCTTTTCTCCTGTTTTTCCGCGATGTCTGCTATCCGACGATAGAAAAGGTGACCGCGAAATAAGGAGAAAGAAAGCAAACAATGCCCCTCGGCACGTTGAATGACTCACTTTGTTGCTTTCACTGCGAAACTTTACTCGTGGAGGCACTTTTAAGGAAGTTTCGAAGAACAGTAACGGCAATCATTGCCGAAGAAACGACCGATTCGTTCTCGTTCCCCTCCCGGTCGAGAACTCGTCGCTATTTTTTTGTTCGTTCCTTCGCAACTATCGCCGTAGCTGAAATCGCGACGAAATTTCTACGGGACGGCCCTGTGTAACTTAACAGGACAAGTTGCTTCTTCCGAGAAATCTTATCGAGCAATTAAAGATCCATTTCATGGAACGGAAGGTACATTATTTCAGGATTTAAACGCCAAAATATTGTAGAACTTGAGAAGGAAGTTTTTTAAACGATTGATTTATAATTTTGTAGAGGTTTGTAAACGTTTCATTGTACTTTATTTGCGACACAATTATACAGGCTCTTTAAAAATCTCTAGTCAAAAATATTTAACACTAGAGTTACCAAAGCAGTCAAAATGATTGCCCTAGTAGCACAAAATATTGAGTACATATTCATCCAATATTAAAAAGAAATTCAATCTCCTTTCAATATTTAAATATACATACAATGTTTATTTCATATTACGAAAAAAATATTTAACAGTAACAAATCCATAATAGTGTCTTTTCGCATTGCGCAAAACCCAGAGCATTTCTGAAGAGACAAGATTAAGTGGAAAAAGTATGTAAAGTAACGAAACTATGATTGGATCAAAGTAGACCCACAGACCGTAGCACGGGTAACCAAAATATTGTCATGTTCTCTTTCCCGTGACTCACACTCTAGAAGGGAAATACCGTATTTTCCATACTACCCTTCATACCATCAAACTCTACAACTGAGAATATTAAAAAGAGAGAACGCATACACCAATCGTTCAAACGCAAAGAACTGATTACAAAAATGAAGAAGACAGAAAAACCTTCGAACAAATCCATCAGACGATTACGACGAAAAAAAAAAAGACGACCTTCCATAAACCAATCAGAAGTAGCGTCCCTCCTCCATTCCAGACACGCAGAGTCGCGAAATTATTACTCGAGACTCGATATCGCGTTCGGCTTTTATCGGCGGCAGCAAAACAGTCCCGCGAACCATCGATTCGATCAACAAGATTAAAAAAAGCCCCGAAGACAGTTCAATCGGAAATCGGCTGGACGTAGCCGGGGAATCCAGGAATTAAGCGATTACTTCCGAAGTTAACCATTGTTCCATCCCGGTCCATCAATCGGACCTCACCGCCTCCCCGTTCCTCAGCCCGCCTTGATCCTCCCTCCCGATTTTCGCGCGTTGATCCATTCGCACGGAATTAAAACCTTTATCTACGTTTCTCTGCCTGCTTCGCCGAGGGGGGGGGGGCGGAGGGTTCGAGAACGGATGAGAATGAGACTCGGGAGAGGCGTGGGCCAGGAATGGATCCCGATCGAGAGCGATGCTCGTGGAATACCTGCGATCGTTTGTTTCCAAACGTTTCATTCCCATCCCCCGCGTACTTCCAGCCAGATAAGCGGCGTCAATTTTTGCGTCATCTTCCTCTCTGTTCGTAGCTTTCTCTTTCGCTGCTACGAGACCTATCTTCTCTTGACGTTCGTTACGTTCCATTTCGAAATTGTCATATTTGCTTCCGTGTTCCATTTCTTCGCGAGATTAAATGATTAGCTTCTATGGGTATTTTCTGCTTTCGCTCTGATTTCTGTTCGTTTCCACTGGAGATTGAGATATTTTCTTGGAATCTTTCGGTGACTTCGTTCTCTTGTCGCGTCGTTTGTTTGCTAAATCGTGCATTGATACGATCTTGTTCTTGATTGGTTTTTATCTTACCATTGAATTTTGTGTTGGATGTTATTCCTTCATGAACTTTCTTTTCTATTATTTTATTTGCATATGTTAGATTGTTGTACTCTTTCTTAAATATTAATTAATCTTCGTATAATTTCACGTATCTTTTTTGTTATGAATTAGATATTTTATTTCCTTTGCATTCCATAGAATTCCTTTCTTGGCTATTATTTCATTTTCTTTAGACTTCTATTGATCTTGACAGTGTATGTTCTTCAATTACTTCGAAGTAATTTTCATTTTAATAATAATAATGACTTCACGATTCACAGCTGAAAATGGCGAATTTCACTTCCTAATAATTCTTTAGCTAAAATTCGAACAACTGGTAACGTTACAATAGCTCGAAAATGATAAACGTGTTAAATTCTTTTATGTTCCATTTCTTATGTCCTTTTTCTGCACAGTTTCCGCAGCTACTTAATTCCATTTCTTCGAGCCTTCCATTCTTTCACCGCGCCGTCATTTTTCTGTATTACCCTTTTTCGTTTCTCGACGCTGCTGTAAAATCTTCCTTATTTATACGTCTGTTATTTTTCTTTCGTTTTCTTTCGTACTAACGAAGCCCCCTCCCCCCACCCCCTCCCTGAAAGCTTCGTCTTTTTTCGACGCTATTCGTCTCTCACCTTTTCCCTCGACGATTTTAATTTCCTTCCTTTTCTCATCGTGTCTGACTTTTTTTTCGGTTGTGTGTCCGCCGCCGCCTCTTTCTGTCGTTCTCGATCACGCGCGCATTTTACTCCTTTTTCCCCCGACCGTGTTTTTCCTGTTTCTTTTTCAACGACAACGGCTCTTTTCGCAACTTTCGGCGGCGTGCTATCGATTTACATGAGACAGCAGAATGAGTGCTCGCCTTCGTCAATTCCCTGGGCTGGTTATATGGATTCTATAATCGAAAACCGTGATAGGGGCGGAGGAAAATAAATGAGACGCGGCCGAATGTTTAATCCACGCCAGGAGCTTTCAGCCAGTCATTGTGCCTTAGTGGGAATATTTCACGTGACGTCTCTGAAACAGGCACTTTAATTTATGAAAAACAAACTGTTAAACTATCTCGTTTTCATATTTTTTCGAACCACACAATGTATTGTTTGTTGTGGCTTAAATAGTAGTGATTTTGGAATTATATACTGTGGATATTTATGCGGATATTTATGCAGAGAATGAAAAGAAACAGACATTTGTTTAATTCTATTAAAAGTTTCATCGGGTTTTAAATCAAATCAAATTCTTATTAAATCATTTCACTACGCTGACGTTCAGAAAATTGTACAATCTGCTATCCGAATACCAATGTAATAAATACTGATGATGTTTCCACATTTGTTTCGTTGCGGCGAAAATTATGTTCAACAATCACGACAATTACTCGATAAGTAAATCGTCAGAGGTGCAGGCGCGGGTATAGAAATTGCTGGCGCAAGATCGCGGCTTCCGGAGTGTTCTCAGGAATTCTCCTATTGAGGAATTAGCGAGCGTGTTTAACAGGGGGTGGAAGTACGGTGCAACTTCACAGTCAGCACGGTTTCCGGCTAACTGCCGTACCCAGATAAGTCGAAACGCAGGAAACTCCCATAGAGATACGGTTAAGTTCCACGCGATTCAGTTTCACTGCAGACAGAATTATCAGAATCGACACGTTCACGATAACTTATTAACGTGTTATTATTGAACCGAAAATCAAAAGATCAGTAGGTGAAAGTCGTTCGATTAGATGGGGGTAAATCGTATCTGGTAATCGATTATACAGTAGCGAACGAAAAAGTTACCACTTCTTTGACTTTTTTTATTCTTATTATTTCTTAATTAATTTCAAACTTAATTCTTTTTATTCTTATTATTTCTTAATATCGACTTAAAACGTAAATAGACTGGATATTATACAGCTCTTAATTCTGTAGTAGAATATACATATGTGAAACACATACCAGAGTTTTAAGTTGACGTTGAAAAATAATGAAAATGAAACAATTCGGAAAAGTGGCAACTTTGTTGTTCACTAGTATAGGCATTCCCGAATCAACTATATTTAGACTGTAGATGTTAATACAAATACAGATTTTTATTGTGTAATTTGCAAAAACTCAAATCAGACAGAAATTTGGTTGTTTTGTTGAGGGTTCTCTTACGCCAATAAAATAATATTACAATTCGATTCGCAAAC